ACACACACACACACACACACACACACACACACACACACACACACACACACACACACACAGTGTGTGTGTAAACCCTCTTTAAGAGGGATAGGGGAGAATGAGCAAGCTTGGCATTTCCCTTGGGATGGAGAAGCACATGAAATGAGTTACTTTATTTGAGTCTATGCTTCTCTAGCTACCTTGTGCTTTCTGGAAAACAATTATGCCAGTAAATTTCATTAATTTTATGTCTTTGGGTAATTTGCTGACTGTAACTGGCTTTCAGAGTGTAGTGATTGCAGAGCCTCTGTGGGTAACACACAAATGAAAACAACCTTTTCTCAGTGTGATGAAATGTAATTGAATGATGATTCCAATTTTTAGTAACCCCCAGAACATTAGTGCTCTGGGAGTGCAGCTACTGATGATAGTTACAAGATCAAATATCACCCCAAAATGAATGAAGCACCATGGTGATGACCAATGGAGGCCATCACATTTGCCCAGAAATAACAATAAAACAACAACAATAACAGAGGCTTATATCAGCGAAGAACCAGGTACCGTTCTAAAATTTTTGTGAACTAACTCTTCACAATCACCCTATGCAGTAGGTGGTGTTGTAATCTTCATTTTGCAACTTTGGAATCTAAGGCAGAGAGAGATTTAAATAAAGCAACACTTATCCAAGTTTACACAGGTAGTGCAGAGTGAAGCCAGCCAGGGAAGAATTCCTTCTCCCCAACACCATGATGCTCACACACTGGAGATGTTTGTTTCCTGCCTGCTCTCTTAATCACCATCATTTGGCTTTCGTTGTTTTGCATACACATCCAATGTATTAGGTTGAATCATATGAACATTAATGTTTTCACAGACCAAAAATCATTGACTATTAGTAGTTTCTTATGGTTTGACCTAATATTCAATGGTTCAGGGGTTATTCCTATTAATTAAGACAACTGGCATTTTATTTACTGGAACAGTCTATTGAGAAATGCATGTGAACAGAGTAATCCACACAGGATGAATCTCAGAACTCTTGCCTGGAATGTTGGAATGGAAGTTGTTATGGAGAGACATAAGGTCCAGACTCCTGGAGCTGCATCAATAACAGCTTAAAAATAAAACCTATCCATGGAATTTCAATATCTATCCATAGCGTTGAGAGTCACAAAATGTAGAGTCAGGACCGTGGATAAACCACACCTGGTCACTGGTCTCCCTACATTTTCACTTCAATGAGCCAATCAGTCCTCTTCTTAGTTTAAGGCCATTGAGTTGGGTTTTTTCTTATTCCCAATCACATATCTGTCATTCTTAAGCGAAGAGAGACAAAAGGGGATTTTAACTTTGCAATGGACACGAGTGATAGACAGCAGAAACATCTGATGATGTTTACATCCAGGTCCTCTGACTCCTCAGCCAATAAGCTGCATAATGCTGTGACAAGGACAAGCCTGTCTTCACCACACAACATGCTTTCTCCTTTTCCCTGCAACCTTTCAACTTTATCTTTGCCATCTCTAAAGGGGCAACTGCATGACAAGAAAGCCCAGAGGAATGAAGTGTGCCTTCTGACTGGTATCAAGTTCCTTCTCAAGCAAGAGAGAGAAGTGTAGGCAAAAAAGCTGGAAGGTTATGTAAGATAGTGGAGAGTGAAGTTTTACCTCTGAAGAGGGCTTATCCAGGAGAAGCAGGAAGTGGGAGTACAAGGCAGGATCCTGGTCTTTGTTATGAACTTATCTTGAAATTTATAGTAGGCCATTTCTACGTAGTATTTTTCTGTGTGGAATTAGCAACCACCCATATTTTTCTCCAACAAATGGGGATGTTCTGAGGATTGAGGAATAACATCAGTGCTCTATTTGCCATATAAAAGGATACTGAGTAGGATACTGCTGGCCTACCCAATATTTATACCATCCGTTCTATTCTTTCTTAATAGAATCTTAATTTACTAACAGAATCTTAAACAGAAATCAATAGCAGCCATGAGTAAGAATGCTCAGAGTATACCCTGGGTAGGGCCTTTATATGAGCTAAAGGAAGCCAAAGCCAATTTCTAAGATGGAAATGATTGTCCCAATTGCTTAAAGGCATTGCTTTGGTGGTAACTCATGATTGCTCTGTCTAGGAATACAGAGATTGTGTATTTCAGTGGTAATATGAGTAATGTTCTTTGATCATAAGTGATTTAATTATAGGCTCAGGGACCTCAGAAAATGAAGGAGAGCCTTTCAATGTTATTCCACTGAAAGAGTGTTAGCAACCACATGCCATTCAAAATGGGACTAGTTCCCAGAGAGATTTTATTTCTGGTCATGAGTGGGGATGGCAAATTAGGAAAAAAAATACCCTGGAATTTATTGACCTAAATTCATTTACAACCAATCAGAGCCCAGAAGGCTAAGGGTTTAAGCCAAGGAACAAAAGTGCTGAGCCTCTTGAAATGCTGATTTTCACTCTCCCTTTGCAACAGGACCCCCCACAGTGGCAAAGACGCGTTTCTTTCTTGTGAGGTAGGCTGCACCAATGATTTCTTTAGGTTACTAAACTCACTGGTTTTCCTGACTATTCACCCTTTAGAAATCTCCTCCCAGGACTGCAGTGAGGCTGAAGAGATTGTTACCGGTTATGGATCTGAGGGTGAAGGAAGTGAGATCTGAGCAGGTCAAGGGTGGTCTGTGGAGCAAGTGGCAAACACTGGTCATGGCTCCTGGCATTGGGGAATGCTCTAGATTCCTTGAGATGTGTGCAGGGGCATGAGGGACTGGTCCTTGTGGTAAGATGGGACAGCCTGGAGGTGAGGATGGAGAGAGAAAACGCCATGTGCAGGGGCCTTGTTGGGAGGTGCAGGCTCCCTCCTGCAACACACATGGGAGCTTTTGCAAGTAGTCATGTAGAAATGAACTTCAAGGGAAGCCTTTCAAGGTAAACAGAAATTCAGTTTGCTGTCTGATATGGTTTGGGTCTGTGTTCCCACCCAAATCTCGTGTCAAATTGTAATCCCCAATATTGGAGGTGGGGCCTGGTGGGAGGTGATTGGATCATGGAGGCAGATTTCCTCTTTGGTGCTGTTCTCATGACAGTGAGTTATCATGAGATCTGATTGTTTAAAAGTATTAGCACCTCCAGCTTCTCTCATCCTCCTACTCTAGGCATGTAAGATACGCTTGCTTCCCCTCCATCTTCTGCCATAATTGTAAGTTTCCTGAGGCTTCCCCAGCCATGCTTCCTACAGAGCCTGTGGAACCATGAGCTAATTAAACCTCTTTTCTTTATAAGTTATCCAGTGTCAGGCATAGCAGTGCAAGATCAGATGAATACACTGTCTGAGAAGATAGTAATGGAGCCTGGGAAGCCTCGCCTGCCTGGACTTAGAGACAGTGGGAAGTGGTTATACATCTCAGAAATTTTGAAAGCATTATCTGACTTTCATCATCTCCTGAAATTCTTCCAGAATCAGGAAAATGGTCTCCATAAACACTGATTCTATGTTCTGGAGAACTAGGAAAATGAGAAAATAAAATGAAACTTACAGTTTGATTGTGTGCAAGTCAGACCAGTTACAGTCATGTATGTGAGCTGCTCACCACTGAGGCATCATGACAAGGCTACATGAAGAGGGTCACAAATAGTACTTGACAGTGTAAGACTTGATACTTGATGCCAGCCAACAAGCTGATATTCATATACTCAACATGTGTTACTTATAGATTAGGGACATTTGTCTGTTATGCAAATTTTTTAAAGAGATCATTGATAGGGAAGCTTTGGTGCCTTACATGCCAAGGTGGGCTCAATTTCCTAACAAGACATTTGACCCATCCTTGGGTCTGGGCCAGGCACCAGAAACAGGCACTGTAGTAAACATGAACTTGCTCCGCCTCTGCTAGGATCAAAATCACCAAGAACCCAGAGGTGGCTGGGAAACCATCACATCACCATCCCACCAATGACAGTGACAACTAGCTTTTCACTAGGGATTCCTCTGTGCCCGATATTGTGCAAGTGACTTATACGTGTTGTCTTATTTAGTTCTCACAATTACCGTATGAAGTAGTTATTATTATTTCTATTTTACAGATGAAGAAAAGGAGGCTCAGATAGTTTAAGAAACTTTCCCTCCTCGCATCATGAATAAGAGGCAGAGCCAAAAGCAAATGAAGGTCAGTGTGAACCTATACTCAAATCCTGGGACTTGTCCCCGACCAGGTTGGGTGAGAAGATGGTTAAGTCCTGTCTGAATGCCACACTGGATTCTTCCTGTGACATTTAGAACCCAGCTTGGATCAGATGAAAGGGAGCTCCTGAAATTCACACACAAGGCAAAGGAGGCCTTGCAGCTGAATTTCAACAAAGCCCTGATGGGGCTGGTGCTTCTGCATTCCAAATGTTCTCTTCTTGCCGCAGCGTGGTTTTAGAGCGGGTGGCCTCTTTTCCTGCCAGGCTTGCAGGCACATCTTCCTGTAGAATGAGGTGTCACTATCTCCAAAACAGGGTGAAGCATCTTTGAGCCATCTCCAGTTCCTGACGGGCGGCTTTGAACCTCTCTACAGGAATTGTGTTTTCCCAGCCAGTGATCAGTCACCGGGCCCAACAAAGCAGCCCGTGTAAGACTCGAGTGTTGCCAATAAGATAAGAAACTGCTATCAAATTTCACCCTTGAAAGTTCTTCCTCCCTTTTCTCACTCTAGGATTAATTCATCTTGAATTTCAAGACAGGGAAAGGTGGGGGTCTTGAAATTTATAGGGCTGCTTCCCAGGGCAATTTCCAGTGTTTAGCCACAAATATTTTCAAGAGAGATAAAAGCAGTTACTTTAACACTAAGCCCCCTGCACACACTGGCCCTGGGAGCAGAGAAATGCTGCCAGCAAGAGAGTGTGGGAAGATTAACGTAACAGAACAGCCACTTACCTTTCCTGTTTGCCCCAGCGAGGGAGGTTGGTGGGGGGGATGGCTGCCTGCCGTTGGAAGTACCGAGCATCCCCCACCCCTCCCAATTTGTATTTAATCTCTCCAGCCCCGTATGTGTTTTCATTGTCAGGCCGGGATCTATGACAACAGTTTCCATTTCTCCCCATCTCCCAAGCAGTGAGCAACAAAGGAAAGACATCCTAAGAGCTCATGAAACGTTTTTATTGAAACCCAGTTCTCCAGAGAGAGATTGAGGAAGCAATTTAAGCAACCTTATTACAAAATAAAAATGTATTCTCCTATTCCATGACAGGAAATGTGAGAAAGAGAGACAAGCCCATAAAAAAGCACTAAAAAAAAAAAAAAGTTTGCACAAGGACTAGAACAAAGGAGAGACGTTAAATATGTGCAGAAGAAACAAAAACAGCATGAGACTCACAAAAAGGATCTCTTTTTAAAAAAATTACACAATATTGCCTTAGGCAGGAACTTCTTTGGGATATTATGCATTATATTTCAAATTGTCTAATTAAAACGATTAATCAAGCTGTGTCTAATAGCTGGGATGGGAATCCCTTATCTTTAACAGTACAGTTTATAAGAGCATTCCTGATTTTGCACAGTTGACAGTATTCTGAGGGCATCTGACAACGCTACCAGAAAGATTTCAGGTGACTCATGTTTTCTTTGCAGCTTTATAACTTGTTATCATAATTTAATGGCATCCAAATAAATCTGCTCATTAATGAAGCAGGTTAGAAAACAGACACAAAAAGCCCGCTTGGTGGCACACACCTGGAGGCCCAGCCACGCAGGAGGCTGAGGCGGGAAGATGGCTTGAGGCCAGGAGTTTGAGGCCAGCCTGGTCAACACAGTGACACTACTGTCTCTATCAAAAAAGACAAAGAAAGCGAAAACAGACACAACGTAATACAGCTACATTTCTAGATTTTCTACTCCCTCTCACCCACAACCCCAGTTGGATGGAATATTCTGCTGAAATTCAAGTGAACAGCAAGTACTGAGCTGTTTTAGGAAACGCTTTGTTCTGCTCAGCATTGACATTGGTTGTTGATGGCTAATCTAGGCATTCTAGAACTCATGGAGTTAGTGATTTTTTCCATAGAATAACCGTCTCTATATTTTCACATATAGCTGCTAGGGGAGTCTGCCCTAGAGTGGGCTAGGACAGGAGGAAATACTTGGAATATCAGGTGCAGCCCCGAAATTACGTCTCTTAGTTTCAAATGGTGTTGCCCATGAGAAGTGGTCATGGGGCAGACAGAGTATAAAGCTTCCCCCTTGCTCTGTTGTTGGGGGGTGGCAGGGAGCAGAGAGGGAGGAAGGATTAGTAGGCTGGAGTTGGGAAGGCGTGGATGTGTGAGGGTGTCCTCTGTGAAAGGGGATGAACAGAGTGGACCTCAGAGAGGGTGACAGGTCTCATCTACATAAGGTCTTGTCTCATCTCCTCCTCCTAACCTCTGCGGGCATTGGTGGGGAGGGTCCCAGTTGAGTCCCTGCAAAATATGCCTGCAAATGAGGCAGCTGACTGGGAGCATCCATACTATTTAGATATAGAACGCACATGGCTATGAATTCCCCAAATCTCAAGCACATTGTAGAACAGCCACAGAATCTGAGCAATACTTGACTATCTAAATGGCCCAATTTCTCTCTTAAGAAGCTTTTAGGAGAAATAAGGTCACATAAAAATCAAGGTAGCAAGTAGTATTATTCCTCCAGGCATCTTTGAGTCAGAAAGAGCCTGAATTTTAAAAATAAAAACTGCTGTCTTGCTTAATATATTCACTCTTCTAATAAGCCACCAAGCAGCCATTGTACTCTCCCAAGCCAGTGGACATATATCTTGCTAAGACATAAGCGTCCACAGTCAGGATATTGTCTAGGAAACCTGAGCCTGCTGCCTGCGCAGGAGCCGCCATCACTGCATAATTCCTTCCAGAAGAATAGAAACCCAGGCTCAAGGCAGCAGCACAGGGTCCCCGAAGGACACATTGCCATTTATTTTCGGTGTGATTATTTTCCATTACACACTGTGCAAGGAGTGTTTTTGAATGCTATCTTACTTTCTTTTCATGTCCCTTCATTTACTGCACCCCGAGAGACAGTCAAAATCTCCAGGCCACACTCTGTAATAAAAACTCAGCAAGCTTAGAGGATACAGCATGAAGCTTCCCAGACGACCAGGAAGTTCTGCTGATGGTACTAAAATTCAGGAGCTTCATCTAGCATCCCAGGCAGGTGTGTCTATTCAGTGAAGAGGAAGCTGGAAATGTTCCCTTTGAGGATGGTTTCTCTTCTTCCTGTGGGCTAAGAGTTGGTGTATTTTCCTTCTGGACTGCCTTCATCCCTGACTTGGCCTATTCTGAATCTCAGACCAGTTAGTTTCTGGGGCTCTGACGGCATTCTGGAGGTTACAGTCCTCAGGATCTTTTGTACTGTGATGGGCTGGGGATGAGTCCCCTCAGCAGGAGTGGAAAGCCCTTTATGAACTGTGGTCTATGATTAGACTCTTGTTCCACTCAGAGTTACTCTCAATTGTCCCTGAGTGTATGATGACAGGTCCCTGGTCTCTAAGTGCAAGGTACCCTCTAAATGTATTCATAGCGAAACAGAATGTTTCCCCACCGAAATATACTCATAGAGCTGGTCTCTGATCAAGTGGCCAGAAGTTTACTCCATGTAGCCTTGCACGTTGCTGAGGAGTCTCCCTATGTCTATATACTTTTGAACTGTGTCAAGATCACCTTGGTGCATTTTGGGAAGTGCCTCAGTTGCATCAAAATCAAAGGTTCTCAAAACTTCCAAGCATCAGAATCACCTGGAGAGCTTGTTAAAAATGGCTTACTGGGCCCTTGCCCCAGAGCTTCTGATCAAGTAGGTCTTAGGTGGGACTCAAGAATTTGCATTTATGACTAGTTCCTGGATATGCTGGGTCAGAGAGTATGTCCTCTGCCTTAATCCGTTTGGGCTGCCGTTAAAAAAATACCATAGACTAGGTGGCGTAGAAACAACAGACACTGCTTTTTCATAGTTCTGGAGCCTGGGAAGTCTAAAATCAAGGT